CTCCCTGTCCATCACAAACTCCTGGAGTTTACTCAAACTCATGTCCATCGAGTCGGTGATGCCATCCAACCATCTCATCCTCTGTAGTCCCCTTCTCCTCCTGCCCCCAATCCTTCCCAGCATCAGGGTCTTTTCCAATGAGTCAACTCTTCGCATTCACTACCCCTCCCCAAATTGTTTTAATTTGGATTAGCATTTTTAAAGGGTGATAGTGGATTGTATGATTTTACAGGGTAATTTTTATCATTATGAGTCTCTCTAAATATTTAGTCTGCCTTGTAGATCTTTTTACTACCAAGGAATTGAGCATACTGTTTTCCAAGAGACTGAAAAGCTGTTTCTGCCATGTTTCCCACCCCAAACCATTTTTATGCCTGTGGAGGCTTGAGGGCTACAGAAACATAGAGTGCTAAATATATGTTATTAGGGCTGAATCGGAAGTCAAAATTCAACCAGAAGTTCATGTCTGTAAGTCATACCTATTTGTATAAGAAGTAAACATTTTTACCAGTTAACCTCACAATTTCTGGGGTCTAGATGACACCATAATATAGAGTTATTTAGGAATATATGGATAGATGAATGTTAAGAAGATAAGAAAAGCCTCTGACCACAGTGTTAATAAGATTTGTGGGTTTTCTGTTGGATATCATGGATCTTAGGAACAGAGAGGAAAATCTTCTTTTCCTGGATAATCTTATCCTCGTTGAGAGCTTCATTACAAACTAAATGCTGATGATTCCCTAAGTCTTTGTCTTCAGCTTGAATCTTTCTCCTGAGGTCTAAAACCCCCAAATTATAATCCACATCTGATATCTCCACCTTAATGTCATTAACTCTCCCCTCCCTTATTAACTGGTGTCAATCTCTACCCCATGACCCCAGCTTTAAGCCAGAATCGTCCCTAATCCTTCCTCCCTCTGTCAGTGAACAAAGAAAGCCCGATCAATTGTATTTTCTAGACTCTCTAACCCCTCTCCTCAATCTCTGCTTCCATTTCCCTGGTTCAAGCCTCTTCCTCTCACTAGATTGCTGAAGTAACCTGTTGACAACAACTCCTGCCTGTATTCCCCCACCCCGATGGCAACCCATTTTCTCTACCTGCTATTGGAGACATTTTTCTAAAGCTCATTCATATACGGTCATGTCAGTAATTATGCTCAGAATTATCAAGCATTTCTTTTCTTGTCTACAGAAATTTTGTAGCAGCACATTTAAAGCCCTTAGTCATCCATCCTCTCCCCTCTTTCTTGTCTTTATCTCCTGATCCCTTTCTCCCATGGATCCTTCCTACATCCCGGCAGTCAGCTGACATCTCAAAAGATGTCAGGCACTTGTGTGCCCTACACATTTCTGCATACACTGTTACCCTACCCCATCCTGTTTCCCGACTTCTCAGCGTACCCTTCCATTCATGAGTTAGCTGTACCTGAACCTGTCTCATGAGCTAGATTGCAAGCTCCTTAACGGGAGGTAGCGTTCTGTTCATCTTTGCATCTGCAGTGCTTGGGTCCATAGAAAATACCAATAAATGTTTTAACAAGTGAGTTAAAGTTCTGAAGTTCTCTGGTGGCCCACCAGAAAACATAACTATGTATAGTGAAAGTGAAAGTCACTCAGTCGTGTCCAACTCTTTGTGACCCCATGGACTATACAGTCCATGGACTTCTCCAGGCCAGAATACTAGAGTGGGTAGCCTTCCTCTCCTCCAGGGGATCTTCCCAACCCAGGGATTGAACCCAGGTCTCCTGCATTGCAGGTGGATTCTTTACCAGCTGAGCCACAAGGGAAGCCCCAACTATGGATATATTTTATGTAAAAGATTTCCTGTAACCTCAACCTTATACATCCACAAATATGAAATTAAATTTTTTAAGGCTTTAAAATTTTTTAATTTATTGTTTCTTTGGGTTGTGCTGGGTCTTCATTGCCGCACATGGGCTTCCTCTAGTTACCGCGAGTGGGGCCTACTCTTCAGTTACGGTCCGTGGGCTTCTCATCGCGGTGGCTTCTCTTGTGGAGCACAGGCTCTGGAGCGTGCAAGCATCAGTGGTTGTGGCACAAGGGCTTAGTTGCTCCGTAGCATGGGGATCTTCCTGGACCAGGGATCAAACCTGTGTTCCCTGCATTGGCAGGCAGATTCTTAACCACTGGACCACCAGGGAAGTCCAAAATTTTAAACATACATACACAACAAAAAACGTGTAACAAGCTTCAGCACTAAAGCCATGCTCTATCTTTCCTAAAATAGCCTCAAGCTTTCACTCAGAGCTATTTATTCCTATTTAGTGTAATGCCTGATAGGATTGTTTGATTGCTTTTCTGGTTCCCAGTAGGTGAACAGACTTGGAGTAGAAAAAGAAGGATATTCACCCAGAGGTGGCAGTGAAAGGCCTGATAGTGAAAGCGAGAGTCTCTCAGTTATGTCCGACCCTGCGACCCCATGACTCTAGCCCGCCAGGCTCCTCTGTCCATGGGATTCTCCAGGCAAGAATACTGGCGTGGGCTGCCATTCCCTTCTCCAGGGGATCCTCCTGACCCAGGGATCAAACCCAGGTCTCCCACACTGCAGGCAGATTCTTTACCATCTGAGCCACTTACCAGACATACTGAGGAGCTGATAGCTTTCCCTCAAGTGAAGAAGGAAGAAGGTAAATTAATATATGGTATACATTAGCAATAGATATTAATAATGATGATTCATCAAAAGGAAAGGTTGTTTTAGAAGGCAGCATATTCTGTAAAATACTTCATAAAGGATTTTCTGTTAAAAATGGTTGAAAGAGTTTTATCACTTAATTAAGATTTAGATATGCCATGAATTTTCATATGTGGAACATAATTCCCTAACAATGCCAGCTAATGGTTCTCCAGTATCACAGATCTGCTTTTCATATTGATAATATAAAATTTTACATGTTGATAATATAAAAGTCTGTTACAGAAAAAAAAGTTTTTTAAGTAGCTTTTTTCTGAATTCAGTCCATTGCTTTAGTAAAATAGTTATAAACTATGGGCAATTTGCCCCAGTAAGGTAGTGTAAGATATTTATAAGGTATTTAATGCAGCAATTGTTTTCTTTGTATGATGTTATAGAAATAACACTCACTATAACACTAGTACACTAATTATAGTGTAACCCATTCCTTTGAGTCATTTATTCTATTCCTATTTACCTCACCTTTGTGTCCTCACATTCAGCGGTATGGTTTAATAGTTTCTAGATGTGTGCACAAAGACGTGTGTCTAAAGTTTAAACATTTGGGGATTATCTGGGGTAGACGTGAAACCCACTCATAAAAATTAATTGTGAAAATAGTACATGACTCTAGAATCAAATACTGAATGGTGGTATTTAAATTTTGAATGTTATAGAAATTCAAAGGTAGCAAAGGTAACATAGGCTGAAACAGAGACAGTGGAGCCTGATCTGTGGTAGGCAGCCCCCAGGCATCTTCCCAGAGAAACGTGGCTGTGTGTGGTCTCCATCGGCCCTTCATCTCACCATCGCAGAGGTGTCCAGATTCCCCACTAGCTTACTCTTTATCCCCAGAGTGATTTGAACAGTAGTGACCATAGACAGAATAATACTTACATTAAAAATTAGTGAAGAAAGTGTGTGATATAATTGTTGTTTAGTCGCTAAGTCTTGTCTGACTCTTGCAACCCTGTGGACTGTAGCCCACCAGGCTCCTCTGTCCATGGCATTTCCCAGGCAAGGATACTGGGGTGGATGGCCACTTCTTTCCCCCAGAGGATTTTCCTGACCCAGGGATCGAACCCATGTCCCCTGCATTGGCAGGCAGATGCTTTATCACTGAGCACCTGGGAAACCCATGTAACATAACACTATGCTTTATATGTACATGTATATAATTGTATAATCTAATAGGCTAGGGTTTATTTTTTTTGTTTTGTTTTGTTTTAGTGATGTTTGACTAAGAAATAACAGGGCATATTTTAGGTATATACAAGCACTGCTTGTACAAACCAGAGCAAGTGGTAATCACCTTCAGAGTCATCATCCTGGGAACCAATGCATTCTTTCCCGTAACACTGTCATCCTTATATTTTTGGAGCTCCTCCTTTGCATTTCCTCAGAGTCTGTGACTCATTCTTTTCAGCATCCTCAGCGGTGACAGATCTTTTTCAGTTGAGAATGAATTTGACTTCTGGAACCAAGAGTCACTTAGGGCCAGGTATGATGAGTAAGGTGGAGGATCAAGCTGAAAAATGCTATTTTTGGTTAAAATTGGTATGTGACAAAGTAATGAGAGTGTTTTCTTGCCTCGCTTATAAAGTAACCAAATTGGGGTTAAAGTATTCTAGACAATTTGATTTTCTGATCAGCCAAGTACTTAAAATTTAAGCATTTGGTAAAATGCAGACTAGAACAGTTAATTTAACCCTGTATTCAGTCCTGTCACATTCTTGGGTGATGTCTGCAAGTGTTCATGATTATCATAGCTCTCCATGGCTGGCAAGGATGTGAGCGATTAGAGTGAAGGAGAAGAGGCTGTCAGTGGAAGAAATGGCTGGATGGCATCACCAATGCGATGGACATGAACTTCGGCAAACTTCAGGAGATGGTGAGGGACAGGGAGGCCTGGCGTGCTGCAGTCCATGGGGCTGCAAAAAGTTGGACATAACTGAACAACAACAACAACCATCTAGAACATGTCCTGAAAATCTATCTGTAGGCAGTGGTACATTTGTATTTCTGCCTTTTTTTAACCCAGATAGATTTTATTAGCTTATTTTTCTCATTTGTTTTTTCCTAAAAGGAGAGGTTTTTTTATTGTTTTGTTGCAAATTACTTGATGCTCCTGCAAGATGTACCTTCTCGGTTCTTCAGCGAAGGAACTCCTCTTTTAATTGTTGAGCCGTATTTCAAAGGTGATGTAAAGAGTTGGAATATTCCTGCTAAAACTCATTAGACTTTAACCTATTATAGATAATTTTACTATTTTAATGTCTTCTTTTTTTTTTTCTATATCTAGTTAAAAAATCTAAGTTTAGAAGAACTACAGATGCGGTTAAAAGCACTGGACCCCATGATGGAACGAGAAATAGAAGAGCTTCGTCAAAGATACACTGCGAAAAGGCAGCCCATTCTGGATGCAATGGATGCGAAGAAAAGAAGACAGCAAAACTTCTGAGTCTAATTTCCTTTCTGCTTGTTTCTGTGACTGTTCTGGAGACCAGGAAGCCGCTGAGAAGGGAAGAACTTTTGTGACTTCTTTAATCCCTGAGGTTTGGGCCCTCCGCCGGGCAGCAGCCAGAATCGGCGATGGCGCGCCCCGGTGAGCCCCGGAGGACGGGCCGCACACGGCCCCGCTGCGCCCGCACCCCCAAGTGGGGAGCGGCGGGGCGCGCCCTTCTCTGCGGCTGTCAGCCACGCACCAGCGCTGAAGCTGCGCCGCAGCACGAAGGCTGTGCGTAGGAACCTTGAAAATCCAAAGCTGTTGTTGCATTGTGCAGCACCGAAGGGCTTTATGTTACAGTGTTCTTTATTCTGTCCTAATAGCCTATTTATTGTATCCCTCTAGGTAAGCTTATTTATTTATGCTGTTTCACTTTGTTTTGTTTTGTAAGGGCAAGATCAGGATAGCTTTGGTGAAGGTCGGGACATATTAATAGATGACAGTGTACAACCAAATTATACTGTAAGCCAGGAGCTACGGGGTACATTCCTTGATTTCCAGGATAGTTTTCCAATAGAAGCAAAGCAGTAATAGCAATAGTACATAAATGGGCCAGGCAATTTTTTATACTGAAGCAATAATTCATTTTTACCTTCTGAAATTTTAATTTTTTTATTTCTGACGTTTCGTACAAATAGGATTATATATATTTAGGTCATACAGAACTATAATGTTTAAAACCAAAGAAATCAATGGAACCCTTGGACAAAAATGTATGGTGAATATTTTAAAAGAAATAAATCCTTAAGACAAATGTAATTCTTAATATTGTTTCATGCTTCATGGGTAGGTCTGAGAGCTAAACTGTATCAAATTGTAATAAGCTCATCACATTTATTTCTGTGAAAATGCTCAGTTGTCCCCAGACTTTTTTGTTGATTTCACTTATTTGCTGGGAATTGGTAAACATCATGTGCCTGATGATAACAAAGTAGCAGAAACGTTTGTACTGATCTGTGCAAGCCCTGGGAACTGGGGGAAAAAAAAAGATTAAAACCATTAAAAAGAAACTCATTTCTAAGCTGAATGAACATTTGCATGATTGAACCGGGACCAGTCATTTCCTAAACTACATATGGCCATCTTGACAGCGTTTGTTCTTTTGTGTGTTTAATTACTATGTGTAAATCATAAAGACAAATAAATTTACTGTGCCACCCATCACATTTCAGCTCTATCTTTTTTTAAAACTCATGACCTAGATTCTGTCTTTTCTAGGCAAGGAAGGTATGTTAGGACAGTACAGGCTAGATTATTCAGTGATAACAACCCTAAACCTTCAAGGGTTTAACATAACCTAGATCACCTGTCACCCACGTGCCCTGCTCCTGACCTTCATAGCCAGGGACTACGCTGACAGAGCCTCCACCGTCTGCAACGTTGGTGGTCACCACAGCAAGGAAAGGAGCGCTGGTGAGTCACACAGTGGCTCCAGCCAGCAGCAACAGAAGTTGTGTCATCTCTGGAAACTTATACTCCTTTTTAAAATGACCTTTGCACCCCAGGTAATACCTGGAGTAACATTTGTCTTTGCCCTGTTGAGTCCTTACAAACAGTAAATTGTCTCATTGTATACAGATTATGATATTGTTAAAACATGGTAAATATTGAAGATTTTATAAAGGTTATTAAAAATGGTGCTGGAGAAAACTTGAGTCCCTTAGACAGCAAGGAGATCAAACCAGTCAATCAGGAAATCAGTTCTAAATATTCATGGGAAAGACTGATGCTGAAGCTGAAGCTCCAGTGCTTTGGGCCACCTGATACGAAGAGCGGACTCATTGAAAAAGACCCTGATGCTGGGAAAGATTGAAGGCAGGAGGAGAAAGGGGGCCACAAAATAGGAGATGGTTGGATGGCATCACCAACTCACTGGACATGAGTTTGAGCAAACTCCAAGAGGTAGTGTAGGACAAGGAAGCCTGACGTTCTGCAGTTCATGGGGTCACAAAGAGTGGGACACGACTGAGTGACTGAATAACAACAAATGAAGACTGAGTTTGTGACTTCAGCTATCCGCTTCAGGGTCAGTCAGATGAGTCAATCAACTCAAACACCCTGCCCTTTTTTTTCTTTGTTTTTCTTTCAGTAAACTGCTGAATGCCTCACCTAATGTGATAGAATCCACTGACTGATTTGTTATTAGCCAAGTAAAACCACCTACATGAAATGACAAGAAACCTATGAAGATGATTTATCTCCTGTTTACTAAACTAGAAAATTTATGCAAATTCATTCAACAAGGCCTGCTAACTACTCTTACTAATAAAGTCTCAATAAGAATCTTCCTCTTAATCATAAATATCCCATGTTTGAATCATAATTTTTGTGTGACTAGACTTTACATTTGTCTTTATATATGTATATTTGTCTTTTTAAATGTGTATGTTATTTATATATGTAATTATTTGTTCTTTATATATATGTTATTTATATATGTATATTTCTATGTTGTTATATTTGTTTTTCTCAATATATGTATGTTAGTCGCTCAGTTGTGTCTGACTCTCTGCGACCCCGTGGACTCTGTGGACTGTACCCACCAGGATCCTCTGTGCATGGAATTCTCCAGGCAAGAACAATAAAGTGGGTTACTGTTTCCTTCTCTAGAGGATCTTCCTGACCCAGAGATCAAACCCAGGTCTCCTGCATGGTAGGCCGATTCTTTACCATCTAAGCCACCTGGGAAGCCCAAATATATGTATACACACCAATATTTAGAGATTTAAGAACAGTAGACATTGTTCTACTTCAGAACCTTAGGAAGCTCCAGAACATTTCAGGATAATCTGCCTTAAAATTTTCCTATCTTCTCACGCTCTGCCAACCACCAATCAAAAAAGGGATTTAAAGTTTGGAAGAACCAAAAGCCATTAAAGAAACTTTCAAGTCTAGGTCAGCATTGATTAATCATTATTCTTAGGAAAGAGTTTTCTGGTTATTTTAATGAGTTTAAGAAGAAGACACTTATTATTTTAACCTTGGTTGCTGAGAACATTCCAAAAATAGTTAAGTGTACTTTCTGCACACCCCTGTCCTTTCATAGATACAGTATTGTAGATGTAATTGAAGCTAATGAAGAAGGATTTCATCTTGCTGAAAAGTCAGCATCATTGTATATGTTGGCCTCTAGATGAGAAAATTTTTTCTTTGATTTAATGAACTTAGATGACTCATATCTACAGGCTTACAATACACTTAGCTTATTTTAGCATAAATAGTTTTATATTCAAAATATGAGCTACTGTGGCCAGTTGGACAAGAAAATATATTTATTTAAATGGTTTTCAAAATAATAATACCTGTTATTTGGGACACTTATGTGTGTCAGATACTTTGCTGAACAGCCTTACATGTATTATTTACATGCTTTTGAATTTCTTTCTTCTGCTTGTTTACTGAATCATATCCCCAACTTTTAAAATCACTCTACTCACTGAAAAATATGTAGCTTCTCTTGCGGAAATTATATAATATATTAATGAGATGTGTTTAACTTAGTCACAGGAAATCTTTTCAAATTACTGACATGTTAGCATTCAATAGGAGTGCTATTTTCGTTTCCTATCCTGTATGTTAAATCCAGTGCTAATTCATTTCAATGTATGACAAAAACCACTGCAATGATGTAAAGTAATTAGCCTGCAACTAATTAAAATAAATGAAAAAAAAAGAATAATAATTAAAATAAATCCGAAAGTACTAATAATAAAACATTCTAAAATAGAACGATTTTTAAAAATAATTGGAATTGCATTGCATACTGAACTTCTTAAGTACAGGCATTTAATAGATATTTTATCAAAATGCTATTTTGGAGTACTATTTGGAGATTCTTTCTGGGGGGTGGGGGCCGAGAGCCCAGGAATCTGGAGTCTAACAAGAGGATTACTTGTCTTTCCTGTTGGGAGTGGTTTGCTGAGATACAGGGCCGCTTACATACCTTAGTAGCTTAGTCTGATGTATTGGATCATGGCTTATCCTCCAAGGAGTCAGTCAGCTTCTCTCCGTGTTCCATATCTACTCAAAACACCTTCAACCTCAGTCAACCAACTCCCTGAGTCATAAAAAGACCCCAAACGAGAAAGCAAGTGACCAATTCGGTTCTTCCATTAGTCTTGGAAGAATAGTTCCCAGTCCACTGCTCATCTCACACCTGCATTAGCCAGACTCCCGATTACAGTTTTTTTTTCTTCACTTGATTAAACTCCCTAATTTAAAATTCTGATTCTGCTGGTTACTCTTCCGGTTCGCAGAACTTTGCCTACCAAGTTAAAGATGAACTCTGTGCAATGGGAGGAAAAAAAAACAAATGAACTCTGCCTCCTGCCATTCAAGACCTGCGTGCGTGTCACTAAGCTTCAGGCATGTCCGACTCTGTAATCCTGTGGACTGTAGCCCGCCAGCCAGGCTTCTCTGTGCATGGGATTCTCCAGGCAAGACTACTGGGGTGGGTTGCCATGCCCTTCTCCAGGGGATCTTCCTGATGTAGGGGTAGAACCTAGTCTCCAGCATCTACGTGCATTGGCAGGTGGGTTCTTTACCATGAGCGCCACCTGGGAAGCCCCTCAAGACCTGCAGCTTGTCCCATCCCATCCTGCCTTAACTGCTTTCTTTGAGGCCTTTCTTCCACCAAACCAAACTACTTCCAAATTCTTTTTGATTTCCCTTATTACTGGATTGTAAGGTAGCTGAAAGCAGAAACTTGGTGTTTGTCTACCTTGCTTTCTCATAGTGCTTACCAGGATGTTAGATGTATTTGGTAGTAAATAAAGTTTCACTGCAGGCAACTAGCTTGTGTAACAGAATTGCCATCATTAATCATATGGGCTAATCACCCTCCTTACATCTTGGTAATCATGGTAACAAGAACAATTATGTCAACCAGTTTTTGAGCAGCTACCAAATCATGAACTTGGTATATTATCTCAAACCTTCACAACAAGATGCATAGTCTTTTTCTCGGAAAAGACAGGATTAGAGAGATTAAATGAGATCATCATGCTAGTCAATGCCAGCATGAGCTTTAAACTGTCTGTCTCCAAAATCTTTGCTTTTTCCACTAGACCACATTGCCTAATAAACACAGCAGGTCTGGCTTTAGAATTGCTGGACAGGGTTGCTGATCTATCTTGGAAGAAGCTTCAGTTAAAACTTAGGAGAGGAACTTGTTAGCTGATTTGAACTTTTTCTCCATTTCAGTGGAACCTAAATTTTCCAAAAAGGCACCCTATCTACATGACAGGAAAAGAAGCAGGGTGCATTTACTGAAGTTTCCAAGATGATTTGTACAAAAAGATATTTTTTACACTTCATTAGGATATATTTGGAGTTCTTGTGCCTTAAAAGCTATATATATATATGTATTTTGTTTGTTTGTTTTGGTAAACTAAAATGTTAGCATCTTCTCTTCCTTACCAAAGTCTGTCTTTATAATGAGCACTTTAGAGAAACTTTGATCAGTATAGTGGAAGAAAGAAGACCTCAGAAGGTCAATTACCTAGTTTCAAGTTCCAGCTCTATACTTTTGT